CGTGGCACCTATGGGAGGCCTGTAATCTGCCAGCAACCTATGACAAAATGGAAAAACCGCAGGAGTGTGAGGAGACCTCAAAGTGGCACATGGCAGAGTGGGAGCAAGGAGGCTGTACAGGGACCCAGGTCACACTGTGTGGCCCAGCAGCAGCGTGACCAGGTACGGGGGGCCCATGGACAGATTATAGTGGACCTGGCGGCACCTATGGAGGAGGCTGTAATCTTTGCCAGCAAACCTATGACAGAATAGGGGCCCAGCAGCAGTGTGAGGAGACCTGATAGTGCACATGGCAGAGTGTGGCGTTGAAGATAGCAGCAATGGGAGGTGGTACAGGGACATGGCATGACACACTGTGGACCTGATGGCAAGCAGCGTGAGGAGGCGGTACAGGGGCCCATGGCAGATTAGGGGCCTGGCCGCAGCAATGGGTGAGGCCCGTAATCTGCCAGCCTCCCTATGACAAAATGAAACACACCAGCATGTGAGGAGACCTGAAAGTGGCACATGGCATGACACACTGTGGACCTTGCAGCAGCGTGAGGAGGCGGTACAGGGGCCCATTGGCAGATTAGGGGCCTGGCAGCAGCTATGGGAGGCCCGTAATCTGCCAGCACCCTATGACAAAATGAAACACACCAGCAAGCAGTGTGAGGAGACCTGAAAGTGGCACATGTTTGTGGCATGATTCATGGCGGATTTAGTCAGTTAAGTTGTGTCAGGAACTGGTGGTTTGAAATCCAGACTAATCCACGCCTGATTCATTTTCACAAACGTGAGTCTCTCCACACTTTGGGTGGACAGTCGTGTCCTCCGCGGAGTTACAATACCTCCTGCCGCACTAAACACGCGCTCCGATGCCACGCTACTGGCCGGGCATGACAGCCTTTCAAGGGCAAAATTCAGCTAGTTGGGGCCAAAGGTCAAGTTTCGTTGCCCAGTAGTCAAGGGGATTGTCTACCTCGGTTGGCAGGGTGCTGTCCAAGTAGGCCCAAGCCTGTTGTTTGAGGTCCTGCTCCAGGTCCACCTGATGCTGCTGCTGCTGCTGCGGCTGGTTAGTAGTTTCCTCACTGCGCTGGTGAAGAAAGCTACTCATCATCGACTGCAGACTGAGGCAGCCGCGCTGCTGGTGGAGCTGCCACTGCTCCTACCACCCCCACCCCTCCCCTGCTGCCATGGCAGCGGAACGTGAGCGCACAGGGCCCACAGTGTCTGAGGATGGACGTTGGCGCAGAAAGGCAGAGACCAACTGACTACATAGGTGGTTTTTATAGTACGTAATTTTGGCCTCCCTCTCAGCAGGTGTGAAAAAGGCCACCATTTTGGAACGGTAGCGAGGGTCCAACAAGGTGGACAGCCAAAAGTCATCCCTCTGTCTGATGGTTATTATTCGGCTGTCGCTACGCAAGCAACCGAGCATGCTTATATGGGCCATTTGTGCCAAGGAATGCGAGGGACTCCCTGCCTCCATCTCCACAGCATACTGCCACGGTGCGTCTGGGTCCTCTGTCTCCTCCTCCTCTCCTCTACCAGATGCTCCTGCTCCTCCACTCCTGTCCGCTGAGTGGAAAAACCACCCATTTCACTCAATAATTCCTGAGCACAAATGTCCTCCTCTACCTCCTCCTCTTCTTCCTGTCCTGCCCCCACAGGGGTCATGTGGCGTTGAGATCTGTGCGCCACGTCTACCGCACCCTGACCAGCCATTGTTAACAGCATTTGTTCCAGGACGTGCAACAGAGGAATGACGTTGTTCATCCCATAGTCCTGCCGACTCACGAATAGCGTGGCCTCCTCAAAGGGCCTGAGCAAGCGGCAGGTGTCACGCATGAGCTGCCAATGGCTGACATCGAAGTTACACAGGGGAGTACCTTTATCCGCTTGTAACATCAGGAAATCGGTGATGGCCTTTCACTGCTCGTAAAGGCGGTCTAAACATGTGTAGGGTTGAATTCCACCTTGTTGCAACGTCGCAGATCAGGCGATGCTGTGGAATTCCGTTCTGCCGCTGCAGCTCAAGGAGGGTGTTCTTTGCGGTGTATGAATGGCTGAAATGCATGCAAAGTTTACGTGACATTTTAAGGATGTCTTGCAGTGGGATGGTGGATTTTAGGAACGCTTGACAAACCAGATTGAACACGTGAGCCATGCATGGCGCATGGCACAACCTTCCTTGACGCAGAGCAGACACCATGTTCTTTCCGTTGTCGGTCAACATGGTTCCGATTTTCAGTTTGCGCGGAGACAGCCATCTGTCGATTTCTCTGTTCATTACACTCAGAAGTTCCTCCCCTGTGTGACTACGTTCGCCAAGGCATACCAGGTGCAGCACAGCGTGACACCGTTGCGCCCTGCACATGTGATATGCCGGTCGGGTAATGGGACTTGGCACGGGGGTGGCGGCTGAGAACACGGCGGAAGAAGAGGTGGTAGAGGCGGACATGTTTGCTGGACCAAGGACGTGCAAACGTGGAGGCAAAAGCGTCGTGACCTGTCCAAGTTGCTGGTGCGGCTGTGCCGGCACCACGTTCACCCAGTGGGCCGTAAATGACATGTACTGTCCCTGACCGTAGTTACAGCTCCACACGTCGGCGCTGCCGTGCACTTTGGCAGAGACCGACATGCTCAAAGACTGGCCCACCATCTCTTCTACATGTGAATGCAGGGCTGGCACTGCCTTTTTGGCGAAGAAATGACGGCTTGGCACTCTCCACCGCGGCGCGGCACAAGCCATCATTTCTCGGAAAGGTGCTGAGTCCACCAGTTGGAAAGGGAGGGACTGCAGCACCAGCAACTTGGACAGGAGGACGTTCAGCTTTTGCACCGTCGGGTGCGTGCTCGCAAACTGTTGTCTCTTGGAAACGGATTCCAAGAAAGACTGCTGACGGAATCCGAGAAGAGGGAGTAGCAGGAGAAGGAGCATCTGAACGAGCGGAAGATGCCAACGAGCGACAACTCCCCTCAGCAGAGGTGTTGGAGCCTTGACTGGCTGATAGAGGGCGATTGACGTCGGGTGACGGAGCAAGTAACGGAGCGGGTAATGGAGCCAGGCTGGGGCAGGCAGAACCGCCGTATCTTTATCACGGTTTTCCCAGGCCACCGAATGGCGACGCTGCATATACTGACGCAACGCTGTAGTCCCAACATGGGCCCCCTGGCCACGCTTGACTTTCTGGCCACATAGTCGACATACGGCTACGTTTACTTCCTCGGGCGGCTTGACGAAAAATTGCCACACCTCCGAGTAGGAAACTTTGCCCCCGCTACTCCTCACTGGCTGACTGCTACTTCCTCCGTGTGCACCGGCACCACTACTGGCCGTGGTGGTAGGCTGCAGTGGAGCTGGTGCTCTACTCCGTGGCCATTTGGCTCCACTGACACTGCTGCGACCCTGCTGCCTCCTGGGCAACCCACCGACTGTTTCGCTCGCTGCCAAGCTGGCACCCTCTTCTCCTGATGATGCGGAAGAAAATTACCTGATGACGACGAGGCTGCCAAGTGCGATCAACCTCCTCATCATCAAGTAGGGTCTCCGCCTCACTACTAGCCCCCTCGGCTGCGTCTGGGTCAGGAGATAGACCTGTCTCTAGACCGGCTACCGAGCCACTCTCCTCGCCAGTACTTCTTCGCCTGGCTGCTGAAAAGGCGGATGTCTCCCCCCGTTCCTGACCGCCCTCTGTTAGCTCTTCCTCACTGTACAGTGGGGCTGAGCCCACAGCATGCGATACTTCGCTTGGTGAGGGAACAGCAAAGGACAGGGGCAGGTAGAGGACACGTGATTTCAGTGGGCTTGCTCCCGGGCCATGCCAACTAACGGTTGTGTCTGACGTACCCACCGACCGTTGGCTGTAGGTGTCAGAGGTGACCTGGGAAGAGGAAGACGACCGAGCCAACCAATCGATGACGGCAGGGTTTCGGTGGAGACACGACCGCTGGATGACACCGGGAGCACTGGCCTCTGGCTGCGACTAGTGCTGCCTCGACCCCTTCCTCTGCTGCCACGTCTGCTCGCTCCTAAAACATTGCCTCCTCTGCCACTCCTCTGTGTGTTGTCTGACATACTCTTTAATTCAACGATTATGTGTCCCTGAGTAACAATTCTGTGTCCCTGAGTAACAATTCTGTGTCCCTGAGTAACAATTCTGTGTCTGTCCCTGAGTAACAATTCTGTGGCCCTGAGTAACAATTCTGTGTCCCTCAGTAACAATTCTGTGTCCCTGAGTAACGTTTCTGTGGCCCTAAGTAACGGTTCTGTGGCCCTCAGTAACAATTCTGTGGCCCTCAGTAACAATTCTGTGTCTGTCCTTGAGTAACAATTCTGTGGCCCTAACTAACGTTTCTGTGGCCCTAAGTAACGGTTCTGTGGCCCTCAGTAACAATTCTGTGTCCCCTCAGTAACAATTCTGTGTCTGTCCCTGAGTAACAATTATGTGGCCCTAAGTAACGGTTCTGTGGCCCTCAGTAACAATTCTGTGTCCCTGAGTAATAATTCTGTGGCCCTAAGTAACGGTTCTGTGGCCCTCAGTAACAATTCTGTGTCCCTCAGTAACAATTCTGTGTCTGTCCCTGAGTAACAATTCTGTGGCCCTAAGTAACGGTTCTGTGGCCCTCAGTAACAATTCTGTATCCCTGAGTAACAATTATGTGGCCCTAAGTAACGGTTCTGTGGCCCTCAGTAACAATTCTGTGTCTGTCCCTGAGTAACAATTCTGTGGCCCTAAGTAACGGTTCTGTGGCCCTCAGTAACAATTCTGTGTCCCTGAGTAGCGTTTCTGTGGCCCTAAATAACGGTTCTGTGGCCCTCAGTAACAATTCTGTGTCCCTCAGTAACAATTCTGTGTCTGTCCCTGAGTAACAATTCTGTGGCCCTAAGTAACGGTTCTGTGGCCCTCAGTAACAATTCTGTGTCCCTCAGTAACAATTCTGTGTCTGTCCCTGAGTAACAATTCTGTGGCCCTAAGTAACGTTTCTTTGGCCCTCAGTAACAATTCTGTGTCCCTGAGTAGCGTTTCTGTGGCCCTAAGTAACGGTTCTGTGGCCCTCAGTAACAATTCTGTGTCCCTGAGTAACAATTCTGTGTCTGTCCCTGAGTAACAATTCTGTGGCCCTAAGTAACGGTTCTGTGGCCCTCAGTAACAATTCTGTGTCACTGAGTAGCGTTTCTGTGGCCCTAAGTAACGGTTCTGTGGCCCTCAGTAACAATTCTGTGTCCCTGAGTAGCGTTTCTGTGGCCCTAAGTAACGGTTCTGTGGCCCTCAGTAACAATTCTGTGTCTGTTCCTGAGTAACAATTCTGTGTCTGTCCCTGAGTAACAATTCTGTGGCCCTAAGTAACGGTTCTGTGGCCCTCAGTAACAATTCTGTGTCCCTCAGTAACAATTCTGTGTCTGTCCCTGAGTAACAATTCTGTGGCCCTAAGTAACGGTTCTGTGGCCCTCAGTAACAATTCTGTGTCCCTGAGTAGCGTTTCTGTGGCCCTAAGTAACGGTTCTGTGGCCCTCAGTAACAATTCTGTGTCTGTCCCTGAGTAACAATTCTGTGGCCCTAAGTAACGTTTCTGTGGCCCTCAGTAACAATTCTGTGTCCCTGAGTAGCGTTTCTGTGGCCCTAAGTAACGGTTCTGTGGCCCTCAGTAACAATTCTGTGTCCCTCAGTAACAATTCTGTGTCTGTCCC